TCCATTCCCATCCTAGTTAGAATCAGTGAGCACAATAAAACTAAGAAAGGAGGTTTAAGAAATGAAAACATATTGCAGAAAGCAGGCATCTTCAACCAGTTTATTGAGCTCTTGACTAGAGGGTTTTTTATTTTTTAAAAGGGTGGAATATCTCTGAGAAGGAATTCACCCTAATATGCACAAGTAATTAATCAAGAAAAAGAAATATCTTTGAGAAGAAACCCATCCTGATATGGGTAATTAATAAAAAGAAAAAAATCCACCCAACTTTAGGAACTCTGTTCAGGGAGAAGCAGCCTTGAATAGAGGGCAGGGAGAGCCATCGTGTTCTCTTCTATCATGTGTAACAAATTACTTTCCGTGCAAAATGCCAAGTTGCATTTCCTACCCCGTGCATTGCTGTGAACATGATTCTGGCACATGGTGGCTTGGCCAGCGATGCTCCTGATATCAATCTTGAGGACTATTCAAAACCAGGATGGGAGTCAGAGTTGATCTGTGCCAACATTCCTGCTGAGAATTAGCCCAGTTCCATGATGTGTGGGGGAGCCTCGGTGCCCTGCCCTTGCCTGTTTGGGGTACATGGATACAGCTGAGAGACTCTGCAGGGAGTGTGAAGCTAGGAAACCACTCGATAGGAACACTTTTCCATAATAAGTTCTAGGTGAAAAATGATAAAAAAAAAAAAAAAGGTCAGATTTTTCTCCCATTTAGCGCAGCTGTGGTGCTTCCATGAAAAACTATTTCTGCTCCAGCAGCTGGAGGAATGCAGAAGAATTGGAGACAGGCTCCAAACGAGCAGGGCTCCAGGAGCCCTCTGGGTCTTTGCTTAACTCTTCCAACAACCTGGAGACCCAAGGGACAGATTAACTGCTTGGCTTGTGCCTTCATTTGTCAGGTGAAGAAACGGAGGCCCAGGGGCCTGAAGTGGCTTTCCCACACTGAAGGTGATTAGGGGCCAAGCCAGAGTTTGTAGTACGTAGGTCTTCCAACTCTGGGCCAAACTGCAGTCCACAAACCTGAGCATGGTCGTCATTAGCCAGGTCGTCAGAGATAGGGCGGGAAGTATAAGAAGGGTATACTGTGATATCTTTGCTGATTGAGGATAAAAGGTAACAATGAACTCCAATTTTGGTCTCTATGCCTTTATCCTGTGTAATCTGTCTTCCAGGGCTGTATGTTTCCCAAACTATAGTTTATCTGTTTCACCGCACCAATTGCCTGTTGGATCAGAATAGGGCTTGGTTTTCTGGTCCATCCCTATTGACTTAACCACTCAGAAGACTCGAGCATCCTTAGATCTCATCTATCCCACCACGTCCTTCCACCTTCTGATCACGTATGAAAGGGCTCAGTACGACCAGTGTAGCACCTGTCCCCAAGGAAGCCTATTTATTTCTTTTCCACCTCAGGTGGCCCGGTGGATCCAAGGCCTTGGTTTGATGTCAATATTTCATTTGTTCTTAGACTTTCTAACCCCCTTAATTTGGGAAACCTTTGTATGGTATTTGTATAAGTAATAGTTTAGGTTGGTTTGCACAAGACCTATCATGTTTTGTAAGCAGACCCACAGAGTCAGTTCTCACTTGAACTTACTGTTTTTAAACATTGCTCTTTCCTATTAAGAATTCCCTGCTTTGAGTTGCATCTGTTCTCCTTCCATGGCCTCTTCCCCCTCGTGGTAATGATAATGAGGCGTGCCTCCTGTTTGGGGTCGCTTAACCTCTCTTGCTCCACTGGCAGGGAGGATTCATGAGTAGCAATATATTTTCCGAAGAGTCTGACCTGGAAACTGAGCATGTCATGGGAAGGCACAAGGTACTTGATCCCATAATTAATGAAGGTTATTGCATCCTGGCCATTCTCTGGGTAAGAGCCAGAGAGGTCTGACTCTGGCTTACAACAAAGTGCTGCAGAACCATATTTCATCTGTTCAGATCTAATATTAAGTCGTACTCAGATTTTCCTTTAAGTGGGCTGCAAAACTGCACTTATTGAGCACCTGCTAGGTCTACATGGGAGATCTCTTAGCTGGGAGTTCCTTGTAGCTAGGGACTGTGCCCAACATTGCACCTGACACACAGTAGGAGAGCCAGAAATATGTGTCTCAATGAAGGAGATGGGTATCCACTCCAGATGGAAGTGGTTCTCCCCTCACCTAACACACCCAGTTCTTTCCTGAGGCTGGGCTACAACTTGACCTTCTTCCAAAGATGAAAAGGAAAGACATTCGTTATTCATCTGAGATTTGCCTTGCAATGTTTAGCATGAATTTGGTGTCTAAGGAAAGGCTGGCAAAGAATTGACACAGGAAAAATTATGCTTAGGTATTCTTTTCTGATGACCATAGACTGAGCAAGATTTTGCATAGTTAGTGTAGCCATGAAAATAATCATAGTGGCAAAAAACAAACAAACAAACAAACAAACAAACAAGCCCCATACATATCAACCCACAGAGGGTTTGAGGATGGTCAGGGAGTAGGACTAACAGAACATAGTGCCCACCAGGCAACAGTCTCTTTACCAACTCCAAACACTTAATGTCTTACACTGTATAAAATCCATGATTTCTCGCTTTTGCTTATTTTTAAAAATGTCTAACTGAAGGCAGAATATTTAAGATCATCATTTGTGTCTACAGAAGGTGAAATTTCTACTCACTTTGAAATCAGTTTGGAGTTTGAGGATGAGATTTAGGGGAGGAGGAGATACACATTAGCTGCTCAATATGCACAGAAAGGCAGGTAGGCGGCCAAGGCAGAGTGTTGGGGGAAGGAAGGGAAGGAGAGGGCGAGAGCCACACTTGTGCTCTGGATTCAGCCTTCATAGAGTCCAACAGGTTCTGCCAGGAGCCAACTGGGTAACCAGGTAACATCCCTTGACTTCTAACTCTTGAGTTTTCTCACCTTTGAAATGAGTTAGTACCTAATTTTTAGGGGCTTTGAGAGTCTTAAACGAGTGAATGTGTGTAAATATCTAACATTAACTTAATAAATGTTAATTTTTTAATACAATGAATTATGACATTCATGATCACAGTGATTATTTCCTCTGAGAAAGCACCTACGGTATCTTTCTGGACTTTGACACGAGTCCCCATCAATTAATATGGTTTCTTCTGGGCAGAGAGAGCCACATACCTGAAATACTCAGAACAGGCAGCTGTAGACACAGCCTCCTGGGGATGCCCCTGGTGCTGCTACCCAGCTGCCTGTGGGTGCTGCTTTCCTCTCCTGCGAGGCCTCAGGCCTCTGTCATGATTCCCACCCGCTGATGGTCCCTGGAACAGAAGGCTGATCTATCCTCCTTTCTTTGGTGTACTTGTCTTTTCTTCTTGAAAGAGACAGAGCATGTCTGCCTGAGAACGGGGCCTTTGTTAGCCAGTCTTCATAGGGAGGTTACCTCGTCACAGAAGAGACAAGCTGGCAAGGCAGGGAAGGAGCGATGTGGCTGGTGGGCTAATCCATTCATCTTTAGGGTCAGATGTAGGCGTTTCTCAACCCCTTGTTAACTAACATTGGTCCACGAACAAAGAGGCTCTAATTTTACCTCTTTCAGAAACATCACTGTTTGTTCCCCAATTTGGGTTTCCTCAGAAGGAGAGTGTATGTTCTAAAACTTTTGCCATGAGGTGGAGTTAGACTACAACCACAAAGCATTTAAGCCAGCTAATCCAGAAGAGGAGGGGATGGTGTGGGAGGTCCCCAGACCTTCCACAGCATATCTGAAACAGTGGATGTCCATGGACAGGATGTCCATGCAGGACGAGACCTGCTGTGAATGGGCTGGGGCCCTCCCCCACCATCACCTCCTCCTCTGCACTAGGGGTGGAGGGAGAGGAGCCCTGGCTCCCCACGCCTACACATGGGTTCTCAGGCCCAGATTTTTTACATCACTTAATCCTCAGGACAACTAAATTCTGAGGCAGATACTGTGCTATTTTTTTTCCATTGATTTAAAAAAAAAATCTTTATTGTTGAAAGTATGATAGATGTTCCTCCCCCCTCCCCCTCCCCATTGACCCCTTCTAGTTCAGTTCCACCTCCTGACCCAGGCCTTCACCACCCTGTTGTTTATGTCCACGGGTTATGCATGCATGCATACAAGTTCTTTGGTTGATCTCTTCCCACCCACCCACCAGATACTGTTTTTAGCTTCATTTACAGAGGAAGGAACCCCGAGGCTCAGAGAAGCTAAATAAATTTTCCAAGATCAAACAATAAGTGATAGAATCAGTAAAAGAAACTCAGGCCTCAGAGCCTCTGCTCTTACCTGAGACTCAGCACTGCTCGAGGAATTACTAGTTCTGCTTGAGGATCTCAACAAGCGGCTGGAGGAATCCAACATAAATTCAGCATTTCTCTCCTCCAGGTTTTCAAAATACTTAATTTTTGGTAGATCCAGGCACAGGTAGCATTTCTCATCTCAACTAGAGCAAACTGCCTACATGATGGCTCAGTGCTTTCCATAAAGTGGCCTCTGCCCTCCAGGAGAGCAGCGCCATTACTGGTCAGGTTCTCCAGAAGACCCTGAGGTGGAGTTTGGGGTGCAGGCTGCTTATCAGGTTTCCCTGCTGAAGGAGAGTGGACACAGGGGAAGCCGTGCTGCAGTGCAGGCCTGATGTCCTCTGCCAACCATAGGTGGCCTGGCTGAGCATATATAGTCTGCAGAGTTGGCCTGCGGTAAACTGAGAGAGCAGGCCTGTATACCCCGGCCCTCAGTGGATGGATGAGGGATGCTAGGGGAGGGCATCCCTGTGAGCAAGAGAGCTTTTTCTAGCTGAGGCAGATTCTGAAGGAGCTGACAGCTTCTTAGTTGCTGAGGCACTAACATTTCTTGTCCATACAAGTTGACCCCAGGAGCTGTTCCTGTGTCATCAGTGGGTGAGTTTGCTTTGCAGGGTCCATTTCTGCTGACTGTCACTGTTGCCCGGAGCTGGCTCAGGCCACTGACCATCTCAGTGCACAGTGTGTGAAACCTCTCTCCATTTCCTTTCAGGTTGGAAAGCTTATCCAAGAAGCAGCTGGAAGAAGTAATTTGAAACGAGTAACTCTGGAACTTGGCGGGAAAAGTCCCAATATTATTTTTGCAGATGCTGATTGTAAGTCAACCAGGCCTCATATGTGTTCCGGCACATGCCCTTCAGCGATTTCTCCTATCTCCCTTAAAACACACACAAAACTTCAGTGTTGAGAGTATTACAAATGTCCCCCATTTTCCCTCCATTGCCCCCTTCCACCCGGTTCCTGCCCTGCCCAGGCCTTCATTACCACTATATGATCTGTGTTCATAGGTAATGCATAAATGCATGTAAGTTCCCCGATAATCTCACCCCATCCCTACCCTCATCCCCACTTCCCTCTGAGATTCATCAGTTTGTTCCATGTGTCCATGCCTCTGATTGCATTTTATTCATCAGTTTATTTGTTCAATTATTTGTATTTTTGGATTCAATTGCTGATAGGTGTGTATTTATTGACATTTTATTGTTCATAATCTTGATCATTGTTTCCTTTTTTTCCTTCATCTTTTTCTTAAGTAATACCCTTCCCTTCAACATTTCATGTAATACTGGTGATGAACTCGTTTAGCTTTTGACACGACAATGAGGAAAAGATCTTTAATGCTAAGGGACACTCAAGAAGAATCTGGACTCTTCCTTCAAGGGGAAAATAGTTTAATATAGGAAAAGAGCACTTATCAATGTGGAACTAAATAGGATTTGTTTTCTAGACACTAATAAGCCATTTTGCCCTTGTGCTGTGTAGAACAGGGTGGAAGGGGTGAAGGCTTGGTCAGCGCTATATACTAGAAAGACCAATGTGCTGCGATCTGAACACCTGAAATACAACCTCCCTGCCTAGTTTCAAGAAGTCTGAAACTTCTCAAGTGTGCCTGGCGGCTTTGCAGGTCATTTAGAAAATTCTTCACTAGCCAATATTTTCCCAAGCCCACAGCCTCTCCTCTATTTGGTCAGCCCAACCCCTTTCTGTTGCTCCCGTGACACTCAGACAGGAAGACAACACACGATGGTCAGCTCCGTGTGAGCAGACCCAAATTGGAGGTGATTACACCTTGGCAGTGGGGCTTTAGGGAGACTTGAAGCAGTAGTCTAGGGAGCCCCCATGTCTCCTGGAAGGATGCTGTCTGGTTCACTCTGCACAGGTGTGGTCTCTCTGTTTTGAAAAACTGGCCAGGGAGTGACATTCCCAGTCTCTCTCAGCCATCCTGTTCCTTCCCCACATCCTGCCCGGCAGAGCTGCTTCCCCGCTCTCTCCGCTGGGGAGAACAGGGAGCAGACTGCCTGCATTCCAGCCCCAGCTGGGAACGTGCAAGGAGTGCAGCTTCAGTTTTATACTAGATGCCAGGGGATCAGAATCCTTACAGCTAAATCCTCCCGAGGAGTGGGCACTTCATCGATGTGATGTTGATGGATTGATTCAGTCATTTAGCAGCAAGCACACACCAGAGTTAATTCTGTCTTGAAACATAAGAGATGGAAATGAAAGCCTTATCACAGACTATTAAACAAATCCCTGTAAAAATAGAGGAAATGTGATGTTTTCGAAGAAAAGCCATTGCTTTGTTAAATTTACCAAAACACCAATTAAACATAACAGCCACAAGGCCCTATAGATTAGGGGTTGCACATTGGTAGTCACAAGCCAAATGCCAGTCTAACTATGTTTACAGTCCATATGTTACACAGTGCTTAAAAAAAAAACAAACAAAAACAACCTGTACTTTAAAAGTACCGATTTCTGTTTTTCCTTAAAATTGGAAATGTGGCAATCATGGGCTTATCTCCATGCATAGCAATAGCCAAACGTGGTGGCTTTCCTTCCCAGTGTCCCTCACGTTATTTTACTGGCTGGCAGATTCACACCATTACATTATCTGCCAACCCCTGTGAATTGGGGTTTGGGCCTCAAAGAGGTGAAGATGCCCAAGTTCACACAACCAGTAAAGCCAGGGTCTATTAGAGCCACAGCTACGCTGTGTTCTCAGCCCAGTGCTCTCTCAGTGACTCGCCCTGGGCTGGGAGGGGAGGGCCGGCCCGAGGACGGCCCCTCCCGGGTGAGGCAGTGCGGGAACCTGCCTTTCCTCTCGCAGTGGACCACGCGGTGGAGCAGGCTCACCAGGGCGTGTTCTTCAACCAAGGCCAGTGCTGCACGGCGGGCTCGCGCATCTTCGTGGAGGAGTCCGTCTACGAGGAGTTCGTGAGGAGAAGCGTGGAGCGGGCCAAGAGGCGCATAGTGGGGAGCCCCTTTGACCCCACCACGGAGCAGGGACCCCAGGTAGAGAAACCATAAACCGCCCCTTCCTTTACATTTTAAAAAATATTGATTTTAGAGAGGAAGAGAGAGGGAGAGATAAAAACATCTATGATGAGAGAGAAGCTTTGATCGGCTGCCTCCTGCACATCCCTCCCTGGGGATCAAGCCCACAATCCAGGCATATACCCCAACCAGGAATTGAACTGTGAACTCCTGGTTCATGGGCCATGTTCAACCACTGAGCCATACTGGCCGGGCCCTTTCTTTACTTTATCCCTGGTAAGCACAGTAACTGGTCACTTAGTGGGACCCAGCAAAGCACCACCTTCCTTTATCCCACTGCCTCCTCACTCTTCTGCCTTGTCTTCACAGCTGGAAGTGTGGCCGGTGAGGCATTGCTTATGTCTTAGATTCTCTTTCCATTTCTAAATTTTATTTCTGGAAAACAGAAGGATTAGAGTTGCCTTAAGGATACTCTCAACTTTGGGGGTAAGTTGGAGTCGCTCAGCCCTAAAGGAAGACCTAGTCATGACAAGGTGGATCTTGCCATGAAAACCCAGTCCCAGCCCTGACCATGGACTTCAGACATCCTTGTAGAGGCCGCAGTCAAAGGAGGCTGGGCCTCTCTATTCTCAGAAGCCATTTATCCTTTTTCTCAGCTGCAAAGGACTCCTCTGATGCGCCTGGGGAGTCCATTCATGTTTGGACATGAAGACGGTATGGCTGTCTCTCACTCTGAGTGCCTTGTGCACTTTGGTGGATGAGGAGGCAACGAAAGTCCCGCAGCCTGCTCTCAGTGCTGCAGGCTTTCCACAGTCATCAAGGCATACTTCCAGATGGAGTTCTGGTTTTAAACTGTAGATAGAGGCTGAGAATTTGTAAAGAATGTGTGGACCAGATCACATCTGGGCCACTAGAGCCTGGGTTTTCCTCATAAGAATCAACACCTTCTCAGTTTTGGAGCCATTTGAGAGAAGATTGATGTCCTAGCTCAGTGGTCGGCAAGCTCATTAGTCAACAGAGCAAATATCAACAGAGCCAAATACAACGATTGAAATTTCTTTTGAGAGCCAAATTTTTTAAACTTAAACTTCTTCTAACGCCACTTCTTCAAAATAGACTTTCCCAGGCTGTGGTATTTTGAGAGCCACACTCAAGGGGCCAAAGAGCCGCATGTGGCTCGTGAGCCACAATTTGCCGACCATGGTTCTAGCTGATTATTTGAAACTCAGGAATGTCAGTTTTTATATTATTTACCATAACAATTGCGTGAAGAGCCTATAACTTTTGGAAAGCAAGACTGACTTTATTTCATGGAGTAGGAAGTGAGGCCTCACTATTTATTTATTTATTTATTTATTTATTTATTTATTTATTTATTCTGCCTCTGTGTTTTTAGGCCTCACTCTTTAAACTTAACCCTTTTCTCTAAAGGTGGAACATTCCATTAAAAATTTATCCCAATAGGATTTGAGGTAAAGAGGTTGCATTAACTCATCTCTTGTTTTCATCTTTTTGGTATCAGTACAACTTGTTAAACTCTTAATTTTGGCTATAGAAGTACATTTTCCTCCACACAGTGAATAATTAATTCACCAGTATCTCCATCACTTAGAAACATTGTGTAAATATTAAACTGGTATATCTGATTTAGTGGTATCACCAGAGTCGTTCATTTATTGGAATTCTTGATATATTTGTTTGAACCAAACAAATTGCCATTTTCCACGGATAAAAAAATGTTTAAATAATAGTATTCCATATGATTTGACTAGATATGATGAAGCATTTTAAAAACACAAATAATTCTTGAAAACATGCTTATTTCTGTTTTCATGGAAGATTTTACTTGGAGTCACTTGGCAATTTTGTCTGTAGATTGATAAGAAGCAGTACAACAAGATCCTGGAGCTCATCCAGAGCGGTGTGGCCGAGGGCGCCAAGCTGGAGTGTGGAGGCAAGGGGCTGGGCCGGAAGGGGTTTTTCATCGAGCCCACGGTGTTTTCCAACGTGACTGATGACATGCGCATTGCCAAGGAGGAGGTATCAAATACAGGATTCTTACATTTTGGCATGTTAGAATAGCATTTCTAGTACAATGATATTAGTGTTTTCTATTTTGTATATATTGTATATAGCAATAAACATGGCTACACAAATCTCTGTTTCAAGAAAAAAGTTAAAAAGACAGGGAAGGAAGGTGACATATTCCATGATTGCAATTGTTATTAGTCAGCAGAATCATCAGAATAGCCAGTTGTGGGGTCACCAGGCTGTTAAGCACGGAAGGAAAGGCAGCCAGGCATCCTCACAGTGATGCAGCAGAGGGATCACACAGGTCAGCCAGCACCCAGAACAGTGCCTCCTCGGCTCTGCTCAGGCTCTGAGACACAGCTGAAGTACACGCAGTGGGACCAAGTGACACCAGGGAGGGTGGGGCGTGGGGCATCAAACACACTCTAAGGATAGACTCCTGTGTAATCCATTTCTGCTAAGTTTGGGGTATTTTCCAGTTTTGTGCTGCTGAACATAAACATCTATACTAATAAAAGGGTAATTGCAAATTGGCTAGGACGCCTTCACACAATGAGTGAAGAGCAGGCTGTGTAGGGCAACCAGGCTGGCAGGGGGAGGTAGGGAGGAGCAACCAGGCTGGCATGTGGGGCAGTTGGGGACGATCAGGCCCAAGCAAAGGCAGGAGTGATCAGGCAGGCAGGTGAGCGGTTAGGAGCCAGCAGTCCTGGATTATGAGAGGGATGTCTGACTGATGGTTTAGGCCCCATCCCCGGGATCAGACATAAACTGGCAGTTGGTCGTCCCCCAAGGGGTTCTGGATGGAAGAGGATGCAGGCCAGGCTGAGGGAAACTCCCCCATGCATGAATTTTGTGCATTGGGCCTCTACTTATTTAAATAATGAAGGCAGAGAACACTTTCTTTGAAATGTGGAAAGCAGACAAAGGAATGGCATAGCAAAGATGTTGAGGCAAACTATCTTGTTGCAGATCTTTGGCCCTGTTCAGGAAATCCTGAGGTTTAAGACTATGGATGAAGTTATCGAAAGAGCCAATAACTCTGACTTTGGACTCGTAGCTGCTGTCTTTACCAATGACATCAACAAGGCCCTCACAGTGTCTTCTGCCATGCAAGCTGGGACTGTTTGGTAAGATCTGTCTGTGTCATCATTCTGGCCATAACACATTCCTGGGGAGGTACGGGGACTTCTCCATTCTCCAGAGCCTGGGTGAAGTACACTGTGTCCTCTGGAAGGATGGGGAAGGCCCAAAGCAGCAGACGTCACCCTGAGAGGGGACACAGCCCTTACTGGCTAGATCAGGAAATCCAAGTGAATTACATATTTTCCATCTGGAACAAAGGAAATAAAACTTACAAAAGAGGTATCATGCCAGTGGAATTATTTTTGTGTGAGCAGAATACACACTAACATAACACTGTTTTCTTTTTTCAGGATCAATTGTTACAATGCCTTAAATGCCCAGAGCCCCTTTGGGGGATTCAAGATGTCTGGAAATGGAAGAGAAATGTAAGTGTCCTAAGTAGCTGGTTCTTAGTATAGGAGAGGACTCCCTTTACTCATTAAACAAGAATTTGCTTGAATGTACACCACTGTAAGCTAAGCTCCATGCTATATGTTACAAAGATGAACAAACACAATTCTCTCACCCGAGGTGGGAATGGGGAAAAGTTAATGTACCAGCAATGCCATATTATAAGGGCCATTAGAGAAGTATGTCAAACATTTTGTAAGCATAGAGGCAGAACCAATTAATCTCACCTGATGGGGTCAGAGAATTTTTTAGGAGCAGGCATTCCAGGCAGAGAGAATAGCAAGAACAAAAGTGTGAAGGTACAACAAATATAGACTAGCCAGGGACCAAACCAAGTTTGGAGTGCTTAAAACTAAGGTCATTGACTGCTAGCCCAGGGATGAAGGTGGCTGGTAATGTTTGCTTTGCCTCATATTTAAAAACTAGAGGCCTGGTGCATGAAATTCGTGCACGGGGAGTGGAGTGAGGGTGGTTGTCCCTCAGCCCAGCCTGCACCCTCTCCAATCTGGGACCCCTCGAGGGATATCTGACTGCCCATTTAGGTCCGATCCCATGAGCAGTCAGACATCCCTCTCACAATCCAGGACTGCTGGTTCTCAACTGCTTGCCTGCCTCCTTCCTAATTGCCCTTAACCTCTTCTCCCTGACAGCCTGATCACTCCCAACCACTCCCCTGCCAGCCTAATTGATCCCTAACTGCTCCCCTGCCAGCATGTTTGCTCCTAATTGTCCTCCCCTTCAGGCCTGGTCACTCCTAACTGCCCTCCCTTGCAGGCCAGGTCCCCCCACTCCAACTGCTCTCCCCTGCAGGCCTGGGTCCCTCTCAACTGCCCTTCCCTGCAGACCTGGTCACCCCAACTTCCCTCCTCTGCTGTCCTGGTCACTCCTAACATCCCTCCCCTGCTGGCCTGATCACCCACAACTGCCCTCCCTTGCAGGCCTGGTCCCTTCCAACTACCCTCTCTTGCTGGCCATCTTGTGGTGGCCATCTTGTGTCCACATGGGGGCAGGATCTTTGACCACATGGAGGCAATCTTCTTGTGTGTTGGAGTGATGGTCAATCTGCATATTACTCTTTTATTAGATAGGATGGAGGCCTGGTGCATGGGTGGGGGCCAGTTAGTTTGCCCTGAAGGCTGTCCAGGATCAGGGCTCACTTGGGGCATGGGGCAGCCTGGGCAAGGGGCCTGTGGTGGTTTGCAGGCTGGCCACACCCCCTGGCAACCCAAGCAGAGGCCCTGGTATCTGGGGTTTATTTATCTTCTACGATTGAAACTTTGTAGCATGGAGTGGAGCTAAGCCTTCTGCTAGCTCTGTGGCTGCCACCATTTCTGTTTGGATTTATGTATCTTCTATCATTGAAGCTTTGTAGCCTTAAGCAGAGGCCTAAGCCCGCAAGGGTAGGTGGAAAGCTTGGCTTCCTCCCTTGTCAGGGAAACCCAAGCTTCCCTCCTCCTCTCTGGCTGTAACCATCTTGGTTGGGTTTATTTGCATATTTGTTCCTGATTAGCTTGTGGGCATGGCTTGTGGGTGTAGCAGAGTGATGGTTAATTTGCATATTATTCTTTTATTAGATAGGATCTTTATGGTCCATTCTATAACAAGGAGGCTCTAAATAAATCTAGATTCCTTGCTTATTTCCGTCTCCCTATAGAACTGCTGCAGCTGTGAGCTCTGCAGTTCACCATTTCCCCACCTCTCCTGTTGCTTGTGGGACCTGAGTATTGGTTGTCATTTTACACACCCCTGATTCACTCACCAGCTCAGCACCTGTAGGTTCTTTGAGTCTGGAAATGCAGCGTTAGTGCATAGCATGAATGAGTGGTTTAATCACAATATCAAAGGCCTTCAAGGGGCATTCTGTGGGAGTTGAGGAGATCCCAGAGTGTTTAAGGCCAAGATTCATGGCACAAGAGGATGCTTGGGCAGAGATTATAAGAAGATGACCTGCTAGAAGGAATTTGCAGTGACAATAATGATACCATTAGTAAAATGCCTTATCTCTGTTTGGCTTTATGCTAACTTGTATCCTAACGTCTGATTCAATTTTTACAATGATCTTTTAGGATAAATACTTGTCTTTATATTACAGATAGTTTAGAGGGGGAATGGAGAATTAGAAGAGTTGTGTAGCTTGCACAAGTCATACATCCAGTAAATGGCAGATCTGAGATTTGAACCTGGAATTCAGTGACTCCAAATGCACTTAGTTTCCATAAGATCAGCCAAGGAAGCGGGGGGGGGGGGGGGGGGGGAAGGAGGCCAGGGGAGGGTGGGCATAAGGACTCTATAGGCACAGGATCTGGATAGAGTCCTGAGATGCTAAGGACCTGAAAAATGGGACCGAAGCTGAGAAAATCTAGACTCAAGAGGGATTTTATTTGCGAGCTTCATATACAAATGGACTTTTTGGGTAGCATTTGGAGAATTAATGATAGCCAGGGTCTTCCTGAGGTGATGTCTACCCTCCCAAGCAAAAAAAAAAAAAAAATTGGTTGTTTTGAAAAGAGCTGGACCCATGTTTTCTAAATCCTGTGACTCACAAGAGGAAACATCTTCCATGTCCTGTCCTCTGCCATTACTGAATGCATCTTCATTATTATTATTTTTTGAGAAAATGCTCAGTTAACTGTCAGTCTTCTAGCGAATATTGAGTAGAGCACATGGCTTGGTCTGTGGGAGAAGATGCGGCTCAGTAAGGTAATTAAGCTCATATTGGGTAAAAGAAATATACAGCAAGGTGAGCTGAAGAAGTCCGGGAAGTCTTCAGATGTGATCTATTGTAGCAGTTGGAATTGGCCTTTAAAGGAGAGGAACATTTAGGTAGGTGGAGAGAGGGAGATATGTTTTCAGGGTTGTAGCCGGTTGAGAGGAGTACGTAAAGACACTGTGGGAGAAATCAGTGTGATTTAAGGGGAAGTGCAGTGAACCCATAAGACTAACGCAGAAGGGCTACATGCTTAACACATTGTGGACGGATCACGAAAATTCTCGCTTCATATTAAATTTTACAAAATGTCATACTTTAAAAATATATTAGCTTGTAAGAACATGTAATAAATAACTTCAAAATGTGATGGGTATTTAATTTTAAACCGTGCCTCTAACATTTATGTAAAACGTTTTTTTGTAACTTGTTCAATAGAAACTTACCTGGCTACAGGGTAAAGCTAGCAATAAAACTACCAGTCCTGGTCCATAATGTGTTAAGATACTTTAGCTAGTCATTTCCAGCCCATTAAACCATAAAGCAGGTGTAATTTTGAGGAAAAGAGGAGACTTTGTAGAATCACACTGCTCAGATGTGTATCCTGACTATAGCATTTAATACCTATGTAACTTTGGGCAAGTTACTTTATCTTACTAAGCCCCAGTTTCCTCATCTATAAAAATGGGCATAATTCTAGTACCTACCCCAAAGGGTTGCTGTGAGGATTAAATGTTAGCATTAAGTATGCCAAACCTCCAAAGGAGTGTCTGGCCAACGGTCAGAAAATGTTAGCTGCTCTCATCATTATTGATCAAGTACTGTATGTGAGTGCTATGCAAATGCGTCCACAATGTGTTAAGCATGTAGGCCTTTTTGTGTTAGTCTTATGGGTTCACCGCATTTCCCCCCTAAATCACTCTTAATTCTCCCACAGTGTCTTTCCTTACTCTTCCCAAGCAGGTGATCCTCCTTTTTCTTAATAAATATCTTACTTTGGAAGTGTGGCAGAATTTTTCCTAAGTTCCAGCCAGTATCACCAGCTTCAGTGCTGTCTCTGGTGATGCCAGGGAGGAACCACTCCTGCTTGAACCTTTGCTTCTGGCTTTAGCACCTCTCACTTGCTTTACAGCCAGAACCCACAGCCAGTCGGGATGCTCTTTGCTCAGCCATGGGTGCCCCTCTGCTTTTATACAGTCCTCACGTACTCCAGATGACTCTCCTTAGCCTGCACATGGCCTTGCTTTCTGCTTCCACTTGTCATTTTGCTTCCCGCCCCTGGGTTTGGGCTTCCCCAGGCTCTGAGAGGTTGAAACAGTCCCTGGGTCTGGGAGTGCTGCTCCCATTGACTTTCCTGTGACAGGTCATCAGCAGGGTGAATCATGCTTGTGATAAGTAAGCGCGGCTGATGGCTATAATCCCCGGCTTGGCCTGGACCCTCGTCATGGTCAAGCATCCTCCCGGGATTCAGGCTGTGACGTCCAGGGCCAGTCTGCTCCTATCAGAAGCATTGCCCCCTGCTAGAAAGATGGTACAAGAGACCGTCTGGCTGTGTCAGAACCACCCAGAACAGTGGGCCAAGAAACTGCAGAACGGCACTGGATTCGTCTTATAGGCTCTATACATAGTGAATTGGCCTCCTCAGGCAGATAAACAGTAATTAGGAAGCAGAGCTCTTTGATGAGACCCACTTCATCTTGCTCAGTTATATGCTTCTTTGTCCCCGCTTGCCCCTCAAACATGCTTTCTCTTCCTTGCATGGTAGGAAACGCTTCTTATAAAGAACCTGCCTTGTCCTGGCCTCACTCTTCCTTCTCATGCAATACAGTCCTAGAAACCCCACCTAACCCTGCGTGTGGAAGGAACTGTGCCTCACAGCCTGCAAGCTCCATGTCGCTTCGGTCTCTGCCATCTCCCTGCCACCTCGGAAAGGATAGGAGTAGAGACAGGAGGGAGCATCTTCTGAAACAAGCTGCAGGGAGGGCTGGGGAGCCTCCGCGTGCTCCCCCAGGGAACGCTGTGGAGAGGGCTCCCTCTGCAGGTTACCTGGCGGCTGGCCTCTGACTCCGGGGACAGAGAAGGCTGTTTCTCAGTTCCGCCTGCTCAGCTGACTCCATCTGTTTCACTTGCCCCATCCTTTTTCCTTCCTCGTTCAGACTCCCCTGAGACACAAGAGCCTGAGCTATAAAATATGTGTCACCATCAAGGGAAAGGAAAGAAAGCCGTGAACCTCAGCATTTTACAGATGAAGGACACAAGCATTGAAAATGAGAAGCATTATTAGGATGCTCTGCACAAGGGCTTCTCTAGTTCATGGTGTGCTCACACGCGTTGCGCACAGAAAGTGACTGCAGTCTGGGGAGAGGGGTTCTGAGCGTGCCTACCTGGGGACCCCTCAGAGATTCTGACTTAGTAGATTGTGCTGGGGCCCAGGCTCTGCATTGTTAACAGGCTCCTGGAGTGGTTCTCATGCAGGTGGTCTGGGGACCCTGCGCTGAGAAATGCTGCTGTAAGCCAAAGAACAAGGCAGGGAAAGCGACACCCGGAAGCAGAAATCTCTGTTTGTTTAGTGAGTGAGTCTAACTGGTTTTCTTAAATGGCAGGATGAGAGACACCAAAATCTAACATCTTACTTTATGGGTAGATATGCCGAGTTTGGTTCCTGTTAGGGAATTTAACCTGTTCTGGCTGAGGAACAGGAATAAGACTTCTAAGTGCACCTGTGCCCTGACACATGGTCCAGCTGTGAAGGCGACCATACAGAGTGGGACACCGCAGTCACAGGTCTGCCTTTGGTGGGGCAGGAAGTGGGGCTATGGGCTGTGCACTAGGTTGGTGAGGCAGCAAGTCGGGTGAGGGAGATAACAAGCCTGGGGGGGGGGGCAGAAGCTCAGGCAGCCCCCCTGGTGTCAGGCTGTGTAGAGGTGGGCCCAGGGCTCTGTAAACACAGAGGGAGGGCAGCTGCTTCTGTGGAGCGTCAGGAAAAGCTTCATGGAGGTGTGACTTCACAGAGAATAAAAGGAGAAAAATTCAAGCATTTTCAAGAAAAAAGAAAACAGACTTGCTTTTATGGTGAAATCAAGACAAGAATAAAAGACAATTAAAAAGAGGTCAGGATGGGAGGGGCTAGAGAAGAAAAGTAAAGACAAATTGCATCGTAGCCACAAGGCTTCACTCTACCTAGCAGCCTGAGAGCAGCGGCTGCAAGCTGCCTCTGGGAGTGTCCAGAGGGCTGGGGACGGCGGCCGCAGTCTCCTGTCACCACCTGGCCTGGTGACCAGCTCCACCCTCCTCTCAGCCCAGCCACCGGCATGCTCCTCAGAGCCTGGGGCCGTTATTTAGTTCCTCCTTCACCCAGCCCAGTGCAGTGCTGCCCAGAGTCATAGCTCAGTTTTGTTTGCTCACCAGATGAATGACCATCCTGGATCTATAACCAAGATCTCAGAGGTCCCTGTGAGCCAGGAAGGAGAGTCTGGAGCGGGGGTGGGGGGTGAGGGGGTAGATGACAGCTTACTGCCACTTCCCATCTTCTAAAACGTTTTTCCTAAGAGTTTGTTTGACAACATATGACAAAGAGCAAGATCGCAAATGCTCCCCAGTCGTTTTCAGTCAGTTATTTTGATTACTGTGAGGGCTGCGGACATTGTTTATTCAGGATGATGTTTTTCAGGCATTTCAGGTGGTTTGTGCTCTTCCCAGATAGGCCTTGGGGGTTCAATTCCATGTATTAGATCTAAGAGCCAACGAGAAGGGATGTAGAATCCAAAACCCAGAGGCCTTTAGCCTGGGGATCTCCCGGTCTCCTCCCAGGTGGAGTGGACCTGCTCTCTGCGAGAGCGGTCGGAGCACAGGCGCATCCTGGGCCCAGTGGCAGGACCGGGATTGGAAGAGAAAAGCACGCCATAGTCCTGAGGAGCTAGTGCTCCTGCGGTAGAAACAGCCCAGGCATTAGACACTGGGTCTGCCTGGCAGTGGTGCCCAGCCAGGGTCTCTGGTGACTGCTGGCCACGGCGAACCTCTGGCCTGTTTCTGAGTAGTTGTGGCCTTTGTGTGTAACACTGAAGACAGATCATCTTAAGAAACGGCGGCTGCTCATAGGTGACTTCCCCAGCCCGCATATGGGATTGGCGTCATTAGGATTTCCTACCGGCGCTCCAGGGCCTGCTGGTAGCAGGTGACAGGCTGCACCTCCCAGGACTCTGGCACCTCCCATGGGGCTACTGGGCCTGGTGTCTGACACTCCCCTTTCCATTTTCAGGGGTGAATTCGGCCTGCGGGAGTACTCCGAAGTGAAGACTGTGACAGTCAAGATCCCCCAGAAGAATTCCTAAGGAGGCCAAGAGGGAAGTGAAGGTCGCCTGCACGCCCCCCTCCCCCCTCTCTGCTTTCCCTGAGGGCCCAGCTCTCAGGAATCCAAAGTTGACACTCGGTCCTTATTTAAAGATGGAAATGATGACACATAGGCCAGGCCGGTCCCTGCATCCCTAAAGCAAGCCAGCTGGGCACAGTTTCTTGGCACTCTGTAGGGAATCACCTAAAGATACCAAATATTGGGGAGGGCAGGGTGAAGGAAAGACGGTGATTACCAGCACCCCCAGTATCTCTCTGAGGTGGGGCTGGATAGAGAGCTGTGATATTGGATGCCTTCTGTCACAAGACCCTTCCTCCCTCGGAAAGGCAGCCTTCCCACCGGCTTCCTCTTCCCGGTCCAGGCGCTCCCTGCTCCTCCCCTGCTCCTGCTCCTCCGCGGAGAGCTCAGCTGAGCTCATTTGGGGCAGATGTTTGGGCCGGGAACAATTTTCCAAGGTTTTGCAGCCAAATTACCATTTCATGTTATCCATTTCTTCAAAGCAAATTATTGAAATGGCTTTAGTTAGAGCCAGGCCAGACGGACAATGCCAGGAGCTGGTGCACTGCAGATACACTAGGAAGGAAGGAGGAACTGGGGATTTTCCAGACCCAGCCTGGGTTTCTCACATCCACGGGGAGCCCGAGGGCAGGACCAGGAAGGTGGTATGTAGTTCCCAGCTTCTGAGCCCCGGCATGTGTGGCGGAGGGGGTGCACACCTGCATTTGATTCCTCGGTTATTCTAGAATAAGGCAGGGAGGGGGTTGTTCTCATAGATGAATAAGACCTTTTCCAAAGTTTATCTTTCAAGTCAACCAAAGCAAGCTGAGTAGGCTCGAGCATTTGGAGAAAGGCAATGCTGGGTGCCTTCCAGAAATAATTTTGTTTCCAACGCCGCTCGACAATTCTTAACTAAGTGGATTACCTCTGTGGTTGGATCAATAGTTTCTCCTGTACCCCAGCCCCCACTGCACCACCGGTGGCTCCCCCCCCCCCCCCCCCAGTGCTATGGGTGTTGGCCTCTCATGCCTTAAAACGCCCCAGTTCCACTGGCAGGAACCTTGGGAAATCTGGCCGAGCCTGGCGGTCTTCTTTCCCGTTGGCACAGTACCAGTGTACCCCGGTCTCCTCGCTGCACCAGAACTCCTCTGCCACTTGCAGTGGCCCCTGCCGGGCCCCAGGGCCCCAAGCTGAACTCCATCTTGCCTCTCCGCCTCTTGAGCGGGGAGAGAAGCAGGCTGGCCCCTTTCCTCCCAGCCACGCACTCCTCTCCCGTGAGCCCACCAGTGTGATGTAAGCAGTGTCCGCTTTCTTTCCTTCTCCTCTCCTTCCAGCTGCCAAAGCCAACCCCATCTCTAACCTAGAGGAAGATCACTTATTTAAAAGTACCCAACATAACCTAGAATATATGGAATGTGGGCAACACATATATAGCCTTCTGTATTTAACTGTTTCTGCTTCCTAACCACACCGGGTTCCCTTTCTAACCCTTGTCTGTCCACATTTTAAAGAAACCCCTCCTCGCTGTTACTTACCTACGACAGTGCATTCCGTGGCCCGACGCCTCGAGGGATGCCACGTGTCCGACCCTCCGTGTGAATGTCATGCTCTCCCCTTATAGCTTGTGCCCAAGTGAACATACCCGTTAACCAGCTAGTTACCTTCAAACTGCGATATAGAATGTGAAGATGAAGATTTATTTCTTTTAATTTACTTAAGAAGAAACCTCTGTGCTAGCAATAAAGCATTTATATTGTGTACTCCTCAGGGCTCTGGCTGTGTTTGTAAGTCTGTGTCACACGCGTATCCCTCTCCCGGCGGCTGGGCACCCAGCTGTGCCGCTCTCTGGTGACGGAGCAGGAGTCTGAGAGGGTGTTCTTACAGCCGGGGCAGGGCAGACAACACCCTCATTTTCTGACATCACTTAGAATGTGTGTGTGTGTGTACGGTTTTATGTGGCAAACACGTATAACCATCTACGAAACACGTGAAATAACATTTTCCATTCAAAATATATAGCCTCCATGAGAGCTAAATGTGGAGGAGCTTGGGAGATCCAGTTCTCACAAACGTATCTACATGTTGAGCTCATGTTGCTGATGGCACTTGGTGTGGCTGCATTTGATTTTACCGGAGCAAAATGAAGTCGAAGCTGACTGCCTGAGGCAACATTTTGCAGCTGGAAGAAGGAAGCTGTCAGATGACTGTACCACCACCTACAGCTTGTTTGCTCTGTCTTGTGTTCTCAGAGTTGAGCTCTTGTGGAGTAGCATCCACTTTTTTAGACTTGCACATCCCCTCCTTCCAATCTCCACCCAAGCCCAGGTCTAGTGAGACAAACACAGAGTGGGGACGTGGCTGCAGAGGAAAGCTACGTCTGTGGCTGGCATTCGGCCGCTCCCTGCTGTGTCTCGTCCCTCAGAGGAGCCAGTGGTGTGGGTGAGAGAGCAGCCCGGGGCCGCAAGCTGAACTCCATCTATAAGAGGCAGGCTTCCTGCTCATCTCCCTCTTGCTCAGCAAGAAAAAGGAGTTGGGCATAGATAAACATGGAAGTCCTCTGGGCAGGTGCCTTTGTAGTGCTTATTTGTAGCAGGAATTAGAAGAAAGACATACTTTGTTCTTCAGAACATAGCATTCCTCAAACTTCCTCCCTTTATGATTCTGACATACAGACAAGTGCTGGCCGCATCACAGATGTCAATAAGGAAACAGAGACACCCATTGGTCACCTGTCATCAGCACTACGTAGTGACGGTCTTTTTCCCATGTAGCCGGTTTGTGAGAACAGGGCCCCCAAATTCATTTAGCTTATTGTTAACACCTGAGATTTCTGTTGTACCTTTTCTTCCAAAACACCCTCAGTGCACTCATCTCGATGGTTTCATTCTTTTTCATGGCATTTTAGTTAATAAAGGACAAAGATATTATAATGTAGGGACTAAGAAACAGAACCCACTGGACTGTGTGGGAGAACAGGAAGGCACCTAAGAAAAGAGGACAAAGAGAAGTGAGTAGAAGGGGTGGGTTTTGAACTGGGAAAACTCATTGCATTCTGATAGGCCGGGAAGCAAGAGGAAGGGATTTCTGGTCAAAGGAGAAAGCCTAAAAGCTGCAGAGGCGAGGCCAAGGCACCCTTCTCTGACGACTGTGAGAAGACGACGCCAGAGCAGGCCTGGCATGCTGGCAGCTGGCAGCTTGCGGAGGGCCTGGGGCAGCCACTGTCCCCAGGTCACGTCACAGAGAGCAGGCGTCTCCAGCTCTTTTGAGCATGCAGTTGTGGAGCAGCATGGAGAAGAGACACAGATTGTCTCCTCTTGGTGTAATGCTTGCTTGGTCATGGGGATGGAGGGGAAGGAAACAAACCAGGGTATCAATCACCAGAGCCTGATGAATGAATATGAAAGATGACAAGTAGGCCAGGAAGCTTTCAAGCCCAGCTGAATGAGGAAATGGCAGCACCACTGCCCCAGAGGTTGAAACATGGAACAAAGTTTTGAGAAAAAAGTCTTGCTGTCAGGCTTTGGACGTGGAAATTTTGGGATGATAAAGAGGTATCCAGACAGAAATCTCCAACAGGCAATTAGAAACAGGGGGTCAGAACCTGGCTCAGGTGATCAAACTACAGCACGAACATAAAAGGGATGGCTCTGAGTGGAGGAATAAGAACAAAACCAGGCGCTGCCTGGTGTGTAACAGTGGTTAGAGCACTAGCCTGTGCACCAAAGAGTTAAGTGTTAAATTCCCAGTCAAGGGCAGGTTCCTGTGTTGCAGGTTCATTTCCCGGCCCCATTGGGGCACATGTGGGAGGCAACCAATCCATGGCCTCACTCATATTAATGTTTCTCTCTCTCTCCCTCCCTCTCACTCTCTCTCTAAAAATCAATGGGAAAAATATCCTCAGGTGAGGATTAACAAAAAACAAGAAAACAACAGCAACAACAAACACCAGGGCCAGCTAGAAGAAGCTGAGCAAAACAAGCGGAGGCTGTAGTGAGAGAAGTAGGAGGAGATCGCACCAGGTGTGCCCCCCAGAAACCCAGGGGAGAGCTGAAGAAGGCAGGCAGCAAAGAGGGTAGAGGATGAAGGTGATGGGAGGAGACCCTGACTTTCTCTCTTCCTTTATGGAGTAGAGACTGCTGGGTCTGTGGGCTGAGGAGGCATAAGCAATCCCTGCCTTGTGCGTGCTTTATGCCTTTCACAGGCCCGTGCTCAGCAACAGCCTTGAAGCCACCAGGCCTCCCTGAGCCATAGGGCAGACTCTACCAATAAGCCAGTATCCCCTCTGACCCTCTGGAAAGAGGACGTGAACCCACAATTAGTACACGTCACATTGAGTTAGAAGAAACTGGAGCTGGACTAGCTTAACTTGCCGAGGTCAGGCAGGAGGAAACTGGCCATGGAATAGTGTCAACATGTGAGCAGAATTGTGAAAGGTGAAAAGAGGCGAGAGAACGAGACTGCTGGGGAAAGTCCACACAGACTTTGTTCCTGCCCTGTGGGCAGTCTCTTTAGCCACAGCTGACCAGCGACGAGGCGGGGTGAAGAGCACGCTGCAGCAGAGGGCTGGACAAGTGATCATAAGCCCTCGTTTGGAGCCCAGAATCGGCCATTACAAGCTGGCGTTTTGGGTAGTGACTCACTTCCGTGGGCCTCCCCTGCCTCCGTGGGATCACGATAATCGCTCCTGCCCTGCCTGCTTCCCAAAGCTGAGTGAGGACTCACCATGGCTGATGTATTTCGGAGACACACCACTTTAGACAACTACGGAGAGCAAAAACAAAATGATTCCGTTGCTTTGCCGATAAGTCAGCAGGTCATGAGAATTCATCATTTCTTACCCCCCAACCCCCAGCTTTGAGGCCACTGGGTGGACCCCCAACCCCCTCGGGTAGGTTTCCTGTGGGTTTCCAGGCAGGTGGACTCCATGGGAATCCCTCCAGCCAGCTAGGGGCAAGGGAGTTGAGTGCAGCTCCAATGTTCCCCCCTTTGGTCCTGTGAATTTAACACACTGTTCAGCCGCTCCGTAGGGTGCTGGCTGGCGGTAGGTGCCACCCTGCGTGTCTTATGCAGTGAGTGCTCCTCCATGGACACCGGCTGGGAATGGGCATGGGAGAGCCCACTCTGGAACAGCCTGAAGCCCTCTCCCTAAACACATACATGTCGGATTCTCACTTGGTTATTGGCTGGATTAAAAGGGAGACCGGCTTGCCATTTAGCCTTTGATGTGAAACTGCTGGGATAATGTTTCCGTTGGCCATTTATCTATGTAGCGAGGGGGAACCTGAAACCACCGTGGCCTGGGCCCCATTGCCTCCTAATGGTTTCAAGGTCGTTGGGCCCTGCCTTTTCTGTTTCTGTCTCAAACGCAGGTCCCCGTCCTTCATTGCTTTCTTATGAAATATCAATAGATGTTATTTATCAAGTGGGCTTGGGCTGCCTGATTTCTTGTACAACACTGTTTCTGCAATCTGTTTGCAGAGATTGGCGGCTGGCTTCATATTTTATATTCTGAGCAGGATAAAAAGCACTCCATCCCAAGCAGTCCTGAGCTGAACAGAATAGCTCTCCCTCCAACACGACCCCATCTGGAGCCAAGCACAGCGACCCCAGGACCCTGGCAGTGAGGATTCATCCACATCATGGCTGATGTATTTCGGAGACACACAACTTTAGACAACTGTGGAGCGTAAAAACAAAATGATTCCGTTGCTTTGCCGATAAGTCAGCAGGTCATGAGAATTCATCATTCTCCTCCCAGCTTCAGGGCCATTGGGTAGACACTGACCCTCCAGGGGGTAGGTTTCCTGTGGGACCCCTCTTTCCAATCCCAAGAGGCTATGTCCTATTTGTGGAAGGACAATGTAGAACCTGTCCCGGTCCCTCCTGTCTGGTGACCTGGGGTAGGAACCCTCAAGCCTCCTTGCGGGGAGCTGAGCAGCAATGGACAAGGACCCACGGCGCTGCTCTAGCCAGACCCGGCAAACCCATGGGCAGGGTCTGTGTGTTAAACAGCTGAGATCCCAGGTTCATTCATAAACAACACAGGACTTGTGTAAAATTGAATAAATTCCAGATGTCACTTGTTAATACAATTAGCTCATGCTCCCTAGTAGCCCTGAGGGAGGTGTAATGGCCACAGACACTCTGTAAGCTCGCAGCGATGTCCCCTCCCACCCTACTGCCCCTTATTGTATGTGCTCAAGAGTGCTTTGCCCTGCCAAAGGGAGGAGGGGGCAGGAGCTTGACAGGCATAGGCCGGGGATTGTGTGTGAGTGTGTGTGTGTGTGTGTGTGTGTGTGTGTGTGTGTGTGTAAGGTTGTCCATCCATCACATGTTGAGTCTTTCAACCTCACATCTGACACTCTAATTCCAGAAAGGAAAATCTGTTGGTTACATAAAGACATTCCCCAATGGGCAAAGAAGCAGTTTTAAAGTATTTCACTATTCACAAGCTCTGTGCCCTTGGAAAATTAGCCATTCAAACCCTCAGTTTTCCTCATCTGTAAAATGGGGCAATAAAATGACCTACTTCACACAGCTGTTGTAAGAGTGGAACAGAAACTGTGTGTAAAGTGCTTAATCTGGCCATTGTAAGATCACAATAAAGTGGCAGCAATTAATAAAAGTGAATAAATAAATCAGTATTCACTAGAACTGTAGTCCTGAAGAGGATGCAAATCTCAGGTTTCCTTGTGGTTGCACTAGCACATTTGTGGCTTTGGGTTCCCATGTGGAAGGCAGGCAGGGGGACACCTACATGAAG